AAAGGTCAGTACTAATTACTCTGATACCAAAACCAGAGAGACATCACCAGAAAACTATAGACAATGTTCCTTACGAATATGGATGCAAAAATCATCAACAAAACACTAGCAAACTAAATCAGCAATATATAAAAAACAAAAACCACACGACTATCTCAATAGGTGCAGAAAAAGCATTTGATAAAATATAATACCCTTCATGTTAACAATACTCAACAAACTAGGAATAGAAGGAAATTTCCTCAACCTGATAGAGAGCACCTATAAAAAGCCACAGCCAGACAAGGATGTCCACTTTTGCCACTTCAGCTCCCCAATGTACTGGAGGGTCTAGCCAAGGAAATCAGGTAAGAAAAAGAATTTTTTCCAGCAATTTATGAAACTCATTTATTAATTCTAATAATATTGCCTATAGATTTCTTTGGAATTTCCTACATTCAAAATTATATCATCTGTTGAAAATACTTTTGTTTCTTCTTTTCCAATCTACATACAGTTTCTCTCTTTTCCTGTATTACTGCTCTGGCTACGATCCGGCTGACGTAATGACAGTGGGCACCCAGGTCTTATTCCTGAGCTCAGAGCAAAAGTTTTCAGTGTTAAACACTGGGTATCATCTTTGTTATAACTTTTTTTAAAAAAGATAATCTTTCCTTCTACTTCTGGCTTGCTCTAAGTTTTAATCATGAAGAGATAGTACACTTTGTCAAACATCTTTTCTCTGTTGAAATGATCATAGAACTACCCCCATTTAACCTGTCAGTGAGGTAGACTATAGGAATTATATAATACAAACCCTTCTATTCCTCTCTAAAACTTAGTCAAAATGTATCCTTTTCAATGTATTACTGCTTTTAATTTGCTAATATTTTACTTAGGATTTTTACATCTATGTTCCTTCTGCACTCTGGAATTGTTCTTGGAGGTTTTTAGAATTAAAGTTAAGTGAGCTTTGTCTGTTCAAGTTAGCCAATAAACACTGAGCTCGTGCTAGGTGACCAGCCCTGTTCTGGGTTCTTGGTGAATTAAACAAAGATCCTTCTATTCGTGGTGCTCACATTCCAGACAGGGTGACAAACTCAATAGAAAATACAATACATAGAATTTAGAAGGTGAGAAGCACTATAGGAAAAAGGACAAAGAGTACATGTGATGAAATGAAAATGATGGGCAAAGGAATTAAGTTTGCAATTTTATTATTATTATTTTTTTAAGTTTGCAATTTTAAATGGAACCATCCAGGTAGACTTCATCAGAAAGGTGACATTTGAGAAAAGACTTGAAGTAGAAGATGAGGGTGTCAGTCATGCAAACGTCTCTGAGATGGATTTCAGGGAAAAGGAAAAGGAGATAGCTAACATAAAAGCACTCTGGCGGAAGTGTGCTGGCGTGTTCGCAAGAGGACGCAGAAGTCAGTGTAAATGAGGGAGCATGAACAGGGTGAACCTCCAGGGAGGTTGGAGAGGGAACAGGGGCCAGATAACTTACTATCTTGCATGCTACTGGAAGGACACAATCCAAGTTGTGTCTGAACAGGATCATCCTGGCTGTAGAGGAACAGATGGTAGCAAGCATAGGGTGGTAGAAAGAGAAAGGTGAAGAGTGATCAGATTCTGATGTATTGTGAGGGCAGAATCAACAGGATTTCCTGACAGATAGGATTTGGGTTTCAGAGAACAGATACAGCAATGACCCCCACCATCTGACCTGAACTTGTGGCAGGACACATCACTGCCAACTGAAATTGGTACAAATAAGCTGAGGTTGGAGCACATTTGGACAAGACAGAGTTTGGGAGCTCTAACAAGTGTTCAATTAGGTCACTGGAGGTTTTAAGTTTGGAGCTTAGGAAAAAGATCTGGGTCGATGACCTAAATTTAAAATACATTTCATAATACCCAAATATACAGAGATTTTCATGTTATCTCTTCACTGATTTCTACTATAATTACATGGTAGTCTAAAACCTGCTCTAGGGTGGGTGTTGGCAAATGGTCTCAGAAAGATCTGACCCTTAGGTTTTACAGGCCACATATGGTTTCTACTACATATTCTTCTTTATATTTCTACCATGGCCCTTTAAAAAGGTAAAAATCATCCTTAGCTTGTGCGTATATAAAAAAGGCCATGGGCTGGGGTGCCTGGGTGGCTCAGTCAGTTAAGCATCTGACTCTTGGTTTCAGCTCAGGTTGTCATCTCAGGATCCAGAGATGGAGCCCCTCATCGAGTTCCATGCTCATTGCAGAGCCTGTTTCAGATTCTCTCTCTTTCTCTCTCCCTCTGCCCCTCCCCAACTGTGTGCTCACTTGCTCTAATAAATCTTCAAAAACTAAATAAATAAAAGGCCATGGGGTGACCTGCCTAGAGCTACAACAGTCAATACATAAGCCACTACACAGCACACATACATTTCCATCATTGTGGGAAGACCTACTAGACAGGCCTGTTTCACAGTATATGATTTTGATCCTCTGAAATTCTGTGAGTCTTGCTTGATAACCAAGCATATGGTCTATGGTACAATTTTTTATGTAAAATAAAAAATCTCCAGGGGAAGAGAAAGATAAGGAGGGGCAGGAGAACAATTCAGTGACTAGGGATACACAGAATCTGTCCCATCCTTGTAAAATTCAGGCTGTGTATTTTGCTTTAAGAGGAATGAGAGAGGGATCCCTGGGTGGCACAGCGGTTTGGCGCCTGTCTTTGGCCCAGGGCGCGATTCTGGAGACCCCGGATCGAATCCCACGTCGGGCTCCCGGTGCATGGAGCCTGCTTCTCCCTCTGCCTATGTCTCTGCCTCTTTCTCTCTCTCTCTCTGTGTGACTATCATAAAATAAATAAAAAATTAAAAAAAAAAAAAGAGGAATGAGAGAGGGGAACTGCACTGGTGTGGATGCTTCAACTCTCTTCTCCTGAACTAAGCCCCAACTTAAAGCTCAAATAATACTAATAAAAATAATATTTAAAACATTTACTGAGCAATTTGCTAACTACCAACTACTGTTCTGATTTATATTCACTGACTAATTTAGTCCTCACAGTCTCACAGAGACCATATGAAGTAGATACTATTACCATCTCCTTTTATGGATGAAGGAAATGAGGTGCCCTGAAGATAAGTGTAGCATACTTGCCCACAGTCACATCACTGGTAAGTGACAGAGCCAGAATTCAAGCCCAGGCAGTCCAGCTTCAAAATCTGTACTCACAAAAACTCTAGGAAGGCTTTCTGGCAAAAACCATTCACTCAATGGCTTTTTCATCCCTCTAGTAAAGGGAAGACACCTTTGTTATATCACTTCATCTTTCCAATTGCATCTCCTGCTGCTTCTTCAAAAGAAGCCTCTTTTCTATTCTACCAATTTTCTCATGGTCTCCCTGTTGTGGACATCTGGGTTTTGTCAGTCCTGTGCCAATTCCCTGCAATCCTCTACTGCAACTTCTGCTTATAAAACACTCTTTCCTTTCTGGAACTAGTTCCATGTTGGACACAGGCCTGACTCTCTGCCCCCCCCCCCCCGCCCCCAGAGGCCTATAACCCAGGCCTAGGCAACCTGACTACTCCCATCACACCAGGTCATACTGCAGGGCTCAAGAATAGCCACATGGCCCAATACTTAACTGATCTTTCCTGTCATTTGATACAACTCTGCTAGCTGTTCCCAGGAAATTGGGAACATAAGGACAATGTATACCTGAGATTGCCAGCACCTTCCCTGCTGTGCTGAGCCTACACAGAGGAACCCGAAAGAAATGAAAGAGGAAACAGGGAAAAAAGCTCTGATATTACCATTGGAACATCCAAATCCAGCCACATTATTTATTCACCTGCAGACATTTGGTTATTCAAATCAGTAAATTCCTCTGCATGTTGCTGGTTTAAACTGGGTGGAGCTAGGTATTTATGCATGCTCCCCAGATGTCCAAGCATATCTCTCATTCTTGCTTCTGAGCCTCTGCTGAGGTGATTGCCTCTAATCTTCCAAATGCTCTTCCCTTCTCAGGGCTAAACTCAGCAAGGCCTCTAGGAGACATTCCCAAATTACTGAGGCCAACTATCAGTTCCTTTAATTCTCATACTCCAGTGGACACTCTGTAATCACGAATTTTACCATGTTTTATATAGTTCTTTATTAACCTGAAACCACAACCTAGATGACCAGAACCATTACTCTTACCCAAACATGTTATATAACATCCAACAGCTACATCCTGATCATACTCCTCCCTCTTCTGTTCCCAAGCTCCAAGGCACCAACTTCTGACACTCAGTCCATGTGACAGCTTCTCCTGACAGCTCTTACCTCTGGCCTTCCAACTGGATTAACTCTCCATCCTCTGATTCCTACAGTATTTCACCCTATCTCTTTAAAATCTCTAGTTCCTGCCAAGCTACATTAGTATCTTTTTGACGACAGGTTTGCATCTTCTTCATTTCTGTGTCACACTACCTTGTTGGATGAATGTATTTTAAGGAGAACAAATAGATGCGGAGGCTCACATGTAGACCTAGAATTGGTTCAGATACAACTGGCAATGAAAGTCCTATCGTAAACATGGGCCTCCAGGAATGCGACCATCTCAGGTCTCATGTTCCCAAGTACACTACACATTCAGTGACTCATCATCCATTTCTTTTATGGCCACAACAGCAACAGACAGAACACAAGTGCCCTGACTTGCACTAAAGCGACAATTGTCTTGGTGGACAACATTTATTACACAACAAGGAGAGATATTTTGGTGTTGGGATCATGGTAACTCATCTGACACAGTGAACTGTGCAGTTGTTTTTAACAAAATTCTATTTTAAGTCTGAGTAATTACCAGCAATCTACCATCTTTACTTTTTAAAATTAAACATAGTGACTTTCACACCTTAAAAGTTATAAATATATGTGATATTTAATTCATCTTAATCTATTTTAGGAGGCATATATCATTTCCAAAATGTTTTTTCTGTTAACTTTAAGAAATACCTGAGAAACAGAAAAACTAACCTCAGGTCCGGAATGTATAGTTAGGAAACTTTCCACAGCAGTCAGGGTACCTAAAAGAGTAAGAGAAAAGTAAAAGTAAAATTAAATAAAATCTATGTAACTAAGATGTGCAATAATAAATTATTCCCATTTTTAAAAAGATTTTATCTACTTATTTGAGAGAGAGAGAGAGAGAGAGAGAGAGAGAGAAAGAAAGAGAGAATGAACAGGTAGGGGAAGGACAGAGGAAGGAAGAGACTCCCTGTTGAGAAGGAAGGCCAATGCAGGACTTGATCCCAGGATCCTGAGATCATGACCTAAGCTGAAGGCAGATGCTTAACTGACTGAGCCACACAGGCACCTCAAATTATTCCTATTTCTTGGGACCGTTTTTACCAAGCCTACAGCTGATACAGTCAAAAAATCTATACTGGTAATAGTTTTATTACTGAAAACAGACTTATGAAACATAACTTTACCAGTTAAAGCCAGGTAAATTGTCAGAAAGAGTAGGTTAGAATAAAGTCTAAGTGCTAGTACTGGCAAAATATTTTCTAGTATTGAAACTAATACTATAGATCTCTTCCAACAAGGCAACAATTTAGCTCAATCACCCTGGAAGGCCATCAGCACACAGTTCTCAAAATTACATCTGTGGGATGAATTCTGCTTTCCAGTAAAAGTGCTTTCAAGAAGGCTTAGTAGTAGTTGTTTACAATGAATATACAGAAAACTTAGTAAGATGGCCTCTGTGATGGCTTATAAACTACTTAAAATAAAGCTGTTAAAATGAAATAAAAGTAAGTATAAATAACAATAGAAAAACCAAAGCCAGAAACAGAGAAATCAACCACAAGGACCAATACACAGGCATAGTGGTTAATTAATCATGGAGTTTCTCAAGAGCAGTAAGACAAAAAAAAAAAAAAAAACATATGGGCAAATTCTCAAGATCTGATAAAATGAAGTACAGCGATCTCTTAAGAATTGGTGTTTCTAGTTTTAATTCCAAAAGATAACTAAATCATGGGGCCTTAGAAAGCTGACCCTGAGAAAGAGAATGAAGAACCACATCAACAGCGATGATGAGAACACAATCACCTAAATGGCACTAGGTGACCACTGACAAACACCTAGATCACGACCTATAATTCCCTGAGATGATTCTGAAGTTTCTCAGACAATGCAACCTGGATTTATGGCTCTGTGATCTAACCTAGCCACAGAAAGAACGTGGACCACCACAATAAGACGTGGGCCACTTGTACCAAACAATCAGTTGGGGCACTTGCTAAAACACTCACTCTTTGCATTCAGTATTTGAAAACAAAGTTTTTAAACAAGTCTTAAAGTAATATTTCTCCCGGAAAAGAAGGTGTATTCAAAGTAACAGAAACTACCAAATATTTAAAAACAGTCTTAGTAAGAAATATGTAAAACCATCATGAAGAAAATAGCTGAACTTTAGAAACTTAAAAGTATTTTTTGATAAATGGGGATCTACCATGTCCATGACGTGAAGACTATATTTTAAAGATGTTCAGTTTGGGGGCACCTGTGTGGCTCAGTCAGTTAAGCAACTCACTCTTGGTTTCAGCTCAGGCCATTATCTCAGGGTCCTAGGATTAATCCTGAGTTTGGCTCCGCGCTTATTAGCGTGGAGTTTGCTTGGGACTCTCTCTCCCTCTCTCTCCACCCCTCCCCCCTTGGCGTGCATGCAACTGCACATACAAACTCTCTCTCTCAAATAAATAAACCTTAAAAAAAAAAAAAAGGACGTTCTGGGATGCCTGGGTGGCTCAGTGGTTGAGCGTCTGCCTTTGGCTCAGGGTGTGATCCCAGGGTCCTGGGATCTAGTCCCACATTGGGCTCCCCACAGGGAGCCTGCTTCTCCTCCCTCTGCCTGTGTCTCTGCCTCTCTCTCTCATAAATAAATAAACAAAATCTTAAAAAAAAAAAAGATGTTCAATTCGTGTTCTCTTTGGAATGGTTCTAGTGTTCCTCACTGAGTATGATATTGGCTACTGCTTTCCAGCATCTATTATGTTAATAAAGTTTTCTATTCCTAAATTCCTAAAAATCTGCAATCAGTAAATGGCATAAATTTTCAAATCATGTACTGAGATGAGCATCTAGCTTTTCATCTTCGATAGTCTGATTGATGATTATATAATTTCCTAATAAACCTTGGTCTTGATATATTATTTTTTAAAATTCCATTGAATATTTATTAAAATTTTATTTAGCACTTTTTGACTACTAATTTCACAAAGCAAAAGCAATTTGTAGCTTTCTTCTTTTTCTGGTGCTATCTGGGGCTTTACTTTGAGTTAACTTTTCAATATAAACTGAAATACTTCCCATATTTCTTTTAATTTTTTATTTTTTTAATTTTATGATAGTCACAGAGAGAGAGAGAGAGAGAGAGAGAGAGAGAGAGAGAGAGAGGCAGAGACACAGGCAGAGGGAGAAGCAGGCTCCATGTGCCGGGAGCCCGACGTGGGATTCGATCCCGGGTCTCCGGGATCGCGCCCTGGGCCAAAGGCAGGCGCCAAACCGCTGCGCCACCCAGGGATCCCACTTCCCATATTTTTAAGCTCTAGAACAGTTTATATGACACTGGAGTTACCTGTTTCATGTCATTTTCTAAATGGACCCTTTTAAAATATGCATGACATTAGTAACTTCCACTGTTTACCATAACACTGATTTTTTTCCATTTTTTTAAGATAAAGGATTTTTATTTCTAAACTGGTATGATTTACATCAAAAAGCTTTCAAGAAGAGCATAATATCTGTTAAGACACAGAACTCTGTTCATTTTCTCAGTGGAGAGTAGAGCTGGCATTTCCAGTCAACTCCGGAAGCTTAGTAATCCTGCACATGTCTCTTTTCTTTCAAACTGCATATCTATTGCTATCACCCATCATCTCCTTTTTTTTTTAAGTTTTTAATTACCTGGTACTCATCATGACAAGTACACCCCTTAATCCCCATCACCTCTTTCACCCATCTGCCTGGATCCTCCTCTAATGACCATCATCAATGTGTTCTCTGTAGTTAAGTGTCTATTTCTTGGTTTGTCTCCTTTTTCCCCTCTTTGTGTCTTAAATCTCACATGAGTGAGATCATATGGTATGTCTTTCTCTAACTTACTTCTTAGCTTAATACTCTCCAGCTCCTCCATCCATGTTGTTGCAAATGGCAAGATCTCATGCTTTTTTACAGCTGAAGTGTGTGTATGTGTGCACATATATCACTTTTTTATCCATTCATCAATTGACAGACACTGGGGCTGCTTCCATATCTTGGCTGTTGTAGATAATGTTGCAGTAAATAGGGGTGGATGTATCTCTTTGATTTAGTGTTGTATTCTCTGGGTAAATATTTAGCAGTGCTATTGCTGGATGGTAGATTAGTTCTATTTTCAAATTGTTGAGGAACCTCCCTACTGTTTTCCAAGTGGCTGCACCAGTTTGCATTCTCACCAAGTGTACATTAGAGGTCCTTTTCCTCCACATCCTTGCCAACACCCATATTTTAAATATAGAATGCTTCATGAATTCAATTACTGCTTATTGATTGATAATTACCGTTCATCTTATTTTTGGTATATATTACGCCCAGATCTGCTGGAATGGAGTCAAAGCCACTGCTTCCGATGATATAAACCCCTTTTTCTGCAGCTTTCTCATGATACTTCCAATACATTAACTCCAGAAACTAAAAGATTCAGGACAAAATTCTGGATCAGAGCTACACAGAAACATTTAAATCAGCATTAAATGACAGACCTTAAAAGACAAAGCAATTACATTATGAAAATGCTAACCAATATGACTTTATAGTGAAAAAGGAACTATGAAAATGTTTTTCATTTATTCGGTAAATATTTACTGTGTATCTACCATGTGCCAAGTAGTGTGATACACAGGCTGATCTGACTTAATGACACTATTAACTTTTTCAGAATGACTTTTATATGCAAAAGTAGTTATCTATTATGAAAACCTAAATATACAAAAACATACAAAGAGAGCGAGAAAACATAACCCAAATCATATTACTCAGAGGGAATTACAGAAGTGGGTCTCCACACATACACACACACACACACACACACACGGATCTTCGCACACATGCATGCGCACACACACACACACACACACACAGATTTAGGATAAAGAAGTGGTAGGAAAGGGGATGTTCAAATCCACTGTCTTTACAAATTACTTTTATTTTTTTTTAAAGATTTTATTTATTCATTAGAGACACAGAGAGAGGCAGAGACACAGGCAGAAGGAGAAGCAGGCTCCATGCAGGGAGCCCAACAAGGGACTCGATCCCCGGTCTCCAGGATCAGGCCCTGGGCTGAAAGCGGCGCCAAACCGCTGAGCTACCCGGGCGTCCCACAAATTACTTCTAGAACAGTTTTAGGTTCACAGAAAATTTGAGTAGTGGGGAGTGTGCATGTACTCCAACCCAGTTCCTCCTATTGTTAAAGCTCTTACACTAACATTTGTTATAATTAACGAACTAATACTGATAACGTTGTCATTAGCTAAAGTCCATAGTTTACCCAGATTTCATTAGTTTTTACCTAATGTCCTTTTTCTCCCCCAAGATCCCACATTCCATTTAGCCATCATGTATACTTAGGCTCCTCTTGGTTGTGATGGTCTCTCAGACTCTCCTTCTTGTTTTTGAGGACTGTGAGAATTTTGAGGGCTTTTGATCAGGTATTTTGTAGCATGCTCCTCTATTGGAATTTTTCTCATGACTAGACTGGGGTTACAGCTTTGAGGAGGGGAGACCACAGGGGTAAAGGCCATTTCATGACATTCTATCAAGGGTATGTACCATCACCATGACTTATCAGTGTTGATGGTGGCCCTGAACACCTACCTGAGGTAGTATTTGCCAGGTTCCATCACTATAAAGCTCTCTGTTTCCCCTCCCTTCCATACTGTTCTCTCTGGTATTAACTACGTCTGGCGCACAAACATGGTGGTGAGTCATGTTCCCCACCTCAAGGGTGGAGTTACACAAGGTCTTTGGAATTCTTTTGCACAGGACATTTGTCTCTACTCATCCCTTTGCTCATTTTTAATTGGGTTTTTTGAATTTGTACTATTCCCAAGTTAGAGTTCTTTATGTAGTCTGGATCTTTATTAGATTTTGATACCACTTTTATTGTAGTTTACAGGATATCATAGAAATGTTTCATCATTTTCTTGGCCCTGGGATTTTTTTTTCCAAAGTAAGACAGGAACTGGTTTTGCTTTCATTCAAGTTTCCTACCTCTTCTTGAACCAATTTTGGTAATTCACACTTCCTTAGCATTTTCCAGTATGCTATATTGGCACATTGGTGATGATGAACAGCAGAGACTGCAGGGACAGAGGAGACTGTGGTTTTTGAGGAGCTGGGGTAGCTTGGAGCTTACTGAAACTCTACTTCCTGTCACCAGGCAACCTGATTCTTCTATATAGTGGTGGCAGGCCCTGGAGCTGCACGACTTAACCTTACTCAGCTTGAATTTCCTCATCCACAAAATAGGAAAGACAATACTAACTTTATAGGGATGTGGAACATTCAGATCGCAAAAAATGCTTTATTAGTAGGGTGTCAGGCATGCAGTCAGCCCTCAAGTGTGAATACCTAAAATGTTTAAATTTGGAGGATTTTACACTGCCTTTTCTGTAATGTTGTAAAGTATGTGATTACAGAAAGGGATTTCGCTATGAAAAAGTTACAAAAGTAAGATTCTAAGAATTTATACATAGCACACCATTTTAATTAATTCCATGCACAACATGCAGCAGCTATAGAAATCAACACATTCTACATATAAAAGACCTGGAGTTAATGAGGTGCTAAAGAAGAAAAAAATTCAAGAAAACCAAAGAAAAGACCTGACCATCACACTCTCCTTCAAGCCATCAACAGAACACCACCTCTTTACATCAGGAACGGGTCATCAACTTCGAAAACAGGTCTGTAAGACTGCACTAAATATTTTCCACTTCAACAAGAATTTGACTTGTTAATTCCATTTTCTCTTTTTCATTTTACATACCTGAGGTTCTCCACAGATGTCAATACAGCTGGTTCCATTTTCAATACATGCTTTTATCACAGGTTCTCCATAAAACCGATACTGGGGGAATAAAGAAACCCAATAGTTTAGCAAGCTTAAAGATTTATTTATTCGAGAGAAGGAGAGAGAGAAAATGAGCACATGGCGGGGGTGGAGGTAGAACAAAAGGGAGAGAGAGAATTTCACGCTGTTCGCTGAGTGCAGAGCCCAATGTGGAGCTCGATCTCAGGACCCCAAGATCATGAGCTAAGCTGAAATCAAGAGTTGGACAGTGAACTGATTGAGCCCCCCAGGGGCCCCTTACTTAGCAAGCTTAAACAAATGAAATGCCATTGAGTTTTGCAAGTATAGTCCTGGTTATTAAGAATCAAATATCAATAAAGTAGTCAAAAGATAAATTGAGAAAATCACATGACTGAGCCATGCCACTTCTCACGGTGTAAACAAAGACTCGGTGGAATCAGAGCAAAGTGTGCTAACCTCTAACTGAAAACCAAACAGGAAGTTTTACAGAACAGGTAATTCATTTGAGTTGAATTCTGCAGAATAAGGATCTGCCAGGAAAAGAAAAATCCAAATAAAAGTACATGTAAAGGTGTGAAAAAGGGTAAGGATATCTGAAGCACAGCATAGTTGAAAGGAGAGTGACAGGAGACGGGCCTGGAAAGCAACACTGGGGCCAGGTCAGGAAGGATCATTAGCATCATGCTAGCAAGACTGAACTTTTCTGGATTACTAGACTCCCCTAGAGAATTTTAAATAAGACAGTGGTGTTAGGCTTATAAAAACACACATTACTCTGCCTGCCGTGCTAGAAAACAAAACCCATGGCTGGTAAGAAATGATGGGGATGGCTCTAGAGCAAGGACGAGATTATTAAAGAGGCAGAAATGACTGGGCTTGCCGATTAGACAGACAAGAGGGCCAATGGACATGGGGGCTACTGGTATTTCTAGCCAAAAAAACACAAACAAGAAGAGGAGAAAGTTTTTTGTTACTATAAATGACATCACTCTCCACAAAGTTCAAGTGAGAAACCTAGAAGCTGTTTTTGACTCCACCTACCCTGGAAGTCGCCAAGTTTTACCGAATCAGTCTCCTCCCCTCTACACATCCAAATCTAAATTCACACCCTTACCGCCGCTCATGTGATTTACTACACATAGTAACAGGCTTCACTGCAGCCTAGGTAGCCCCATCTCTAGAGAAACGCCAAATTATTATCCTAAAATAAAAATCTGATGTCACCTTTGCTTCCATAATGTGTATACAACACATGCACAGATATCTACATCTCTCTCTCAGAATCCTTCACTAGCTCTGCAATGCCTGTATTCACTACAGTATACAGTATAAACCAAAAATAATAATAATAATAATAATAAAGTATAAACCTCTCAGTATCTCACAAAAAAGCATCGGGTCACACCACAACCCCTTAATCCCCATATCCTGGCAGCTCTAACCTCCCAGTAGTTTCCTAAACGTGCTGTTTCTTCATCCTCCACTATGTGGAGTCCCCTCCCCTGCTTGGGGTTGCAGCGTTTGCTCCTGGCCCCTCCTGTGCCAGCTGTCTGGCCTTGGGTTAACTTCTCATGCTCAGCTAGTAAGCTACAGCCTGATCACTACTTGTTTTTTCTAGAAGTACTGGTACACGCAGTAAAGCATTATGAGCTTTAGGAAATAACTCCTTCTGGAAAGAGTATACGCTTCCCTATTTGCCACAGTACTCCTATTCCCCACACTGTATTCTGTCTCAGCTGGCCTGCCTCTCCTCCGGATAACCTGAGGTTGAGGCTTCTGCACTAATGCACTAATGTCCCTATATTAGTACGTATTGGGTTTTTTTTTTTCTACTTCTACTCTTGTACTTTTATGAGATAAACGGGCAAACAGTAACAATCCTTGATCTCAGAGAAGACATTTCTCCCCAGTGAAGCCAATTAGCATATAGCTTCTAACCCAGGGGTTAGCTGTGGAAATAAATATCAGTATATTTATTTGTGTTACTTTTAATAGGAAACACAAAAAAAAGAAGAAGTTTTATTAATAGTGAATACATGAATTGACCTCAGCATGTTCCCTGGGCCGTGGGAAGTAGTCACGTGTTGAATGGAAGCTACAAAAGGGATCCTGAGGGCAGCCTAGGAGAGTCCCATACACAAAGGGTGCCCCAGTGACACTCTCATTCATTCATTTCCAGTATATTTCAATCTAATGCTTAACACATGCCTAGATAGTTTTACAGATATCATTTGGTTTTTAACTAAACAAACCTTCACAAAATGGACAAATAGTTAAGAACAAACAAAAAAGCAGGTAACGATCCTAACTGGCAAAGTGAAAATGACAATCCTAGGAGAGCCTAGGAAGGAGGTTTGGGGGCAAAAACTTAGAGACTCAGATGCCTGTGAACAACCCAAGGAGAAACATTAAGAGGGTAACTGGAGCTACCAACCTGAAGTCCAGGGGCAGTCCTCACTGGAGATAACACAGGCATCATAAGCATACAGATGGCATTTAAAGCTATGGCATTCAAAATGTTTTTTTGACCACAACCCCTGCTGAAAAATCCATTTCACATAGTAGCCAGTATACAAATATATCTAACTGATCTATATTATGAGTAATTCAGCCTATTTTCTATTTTAGTTTCATCTGATTGTTTTCTTTTTAATGTTGAGCCTCAACTCACTAAACTGATTTACACTACCGAATGTTGGTATTGTTAAATACTGTTAAAAAATGCTGGCCCAAAATTGTAAAGTAGGAAGCACAAAGATTTCTTTAAAAAAACACAAACAAAAACAAACCTGACCCAGTTAAGAGCTTCTATCTGGGATGATGCCAAGTTCTGAAGATAAGATGGTGAGGATTACAGGACACTCCTAATGTACCAAATGCCATCGAATTGGACACTTAGAAATGGTTAAAATGGTCATTTTGGTTATGTACACTTTATTACAATACTAATAAATTTTTAAAAAACCAGCTTGGAGAGTGTAAACAGAGAAGAGTTTGTAAGGCTTGAGCTCTGAGCCTCTGGTACTTAGAGGAAGATGAGAAGACCCAACAGAAAGGACAGGGACAGAGCTGGTAGGCAGGTGGAAAACCAGGGAAGGGCCAGACCTCAGAAACCACTGCAGGAAGACGCAATCAAGGAGGGTAAATACCAGGAGCTTGGATCAAGGTGAGAACCAAGAGATGGCGAGGGGCAAAACAGACCAGGGAGATGTGCAGAGGCCTGGCAACAGTGGTTTAGGATGGAATAGGAGCTGAGAAAGTGGACGTAGGAAGGAGAAAGAACACTTTCAAGGAGTTTTGCTAAAAATGGGGCACAAAAACAGATCAGTAAAGGGGAGAATGTGATAAAAATGTCAACATGAGGTCCTCAAATCCTGCACCTGTGAGGAGCAGGGGCAGTCTTTTCTCAAAACAGGTAAGGCAGAGTCAGGGTAATACAGTATGCAGCTGCAGAAATTCTCTCTTGACAGCTTCCATTGCCAAAGTAAAAAACAAAACAAAGCAACATTATCAGATCAGTGAGGAAAGAGGAACAGGATACTGAAAACATGAAGAAAAAGAAGACACAAAGCTGCTTCAGACAGTCAGAAAAAGACAGGTCTGGGAGAGCAGGGCTGCTAGAGGTGCTGAGGCCTGAAACCATTATTTAAAGCAGGACCCGCGGGATCCCTGGGTGGCGCAGCGGTTTGGCGCCTGCCTTTGGCCCAGGGCGCGATCCTGGAGACCCGGGATCGAATCCCACATCGGTCTCCCAGTGCAAGGAGCCTGCTTCTCCCTCTGCCTATGTCTCTGCCTCTCTCTCTCTGTGTGACTATCATAAATAAATTAAAAAAATTAAAAAAAAAAAAAATAAAGCAGGACCCGCAGCAAGGGGATGCACAGGTCTCCAGGGCTACTAGATTACTGGCTAATGGGGGTTCAAGTTCAGGTAAGGTACACAGGGTTGGTATAACCGGAAAAAACCAGTTTTGGAGATTCAAAGGGGCACCTGCAACCCACTGTTTACAGCAGCAACATCCACAATAGCCAAACTATAGAAAAAGCCCAGATGTCCAGCGACAGATGAGTGGATGAAGAGGTGGTAGATACACAACGGAATATTACTCAGCCATCAGAAAGAATGAGATCTTGCCATTTGCAATGACATGTTATGCTGCGCAAAATAAGGCAGTCAGGGGCACCTGGGTGCTCAGTGGTTGAATGTCTGCCTTTGGCACAGATCACGATCCCGGGTTTCTGGGATCGAGTCCCACATCGGGCTCCCCTCAGGGAGCCTGCTTCTCCCTCTATGTCTCTGCTCCTCTCTCTGTGTCTCTCATGAATAAGTGTCCCTCATCTTTAAAAAAATAAAAGAAAAAGAAGTCAGTCAGAGAGAGACAAATATTTTATGATCTCACCCATATGTGGAATTTAAGAAACAAAACAGATGAATACAAGGGAAGGGAAGGAAAAACAAAAGAAGAGGAAAACAGAAAGGGAGACAAACCCTAAGAGACTCTTAACTCTAAGAAACAAACTGAGAGTCGCTGCAGGGGAGGGAGTGGGGGGACGGGGTCACTGGGTGATGGGCATGAAGGACGGCACATGATGGAATGAGCACTGCGTGGTCTATGCAACTCATGAGTCACTGACCTCTACCCCTGAAACTAAAAACAAATAAATAAATAACACCCATACACCCACTTACCCACCCACACACACACACACACCAGTTTTGGATTTTTCCAGAGCACTGAGGTGGGAAGGGCAAGGAGGTTGGCCGAGGGTGGACATAAGAGAATGGTTGTAGCAAGAGAGCACAGACAGAATCAAAGCTAATTAGGAATGAGATTAATCTAAATAAACAATTTAAATACATTTTTACTTGATAATCAAAAAACTGTTCCGCTTTCATTTAAAACATTATTGTCAATCTTCCAGATGCTTAGTTTCCAAATGTTTTGACAATTGTGATGGCTTCCTCAGGTCAGTAAATGTCACCGACATTCCCCTGGGACACAGGCCAAGAGTGTGTCCCTCACATCCAGAACAAACAGCAAAAGGGGGATTCTAGCCTCAAAGCACCCTCTGTCCCCACCCCAACTGCTTCTCTCTACCTCTTCCACCCCCATCCTGTGCTCAGCTTGCCTGGACCATTCCCCTGCTGGCCCCCTCTTGCCTTCTTTCGGTCAGAAGACAAGAACTACAAAACCGCCAATCAGCTCAGGCTCCTGCTTTCAACCATTCAAAGACTCCGTCGCACTTACAAGAAAACTCAAACCCTGACATTGCCCTCTCTCACATTCATGTCTGCTCTCCCCTGGAACATCCTGCTCCTCAAATACTCCCACACCTCAGCCTCCTCACTTCCCTCAGGGCTGTACAAAAACCTGAGGTCCTCACAGAGACCTTCCCTGGCCACCCACCTCACAGAGACTGATGTGCCAATCCTTCAGTCTCCTTATCCGGTTTGATTTTTCTTCAAAGCGCTTCTCACTACCTACAACTAAACTTTATGTTTCTGTCTCCCCCACTGGATGGTAAGCTCCGTGAGGGAGTTTCAGTTTGGTTCACCCTTCTGTCTCAGGTACCTACACCAGAGCAGTTTTACATATAATGAATATTCAATGAGCATTTAGTTTATAAATAATACAGGAATATCATTTATCAATAAATAAAAATATATCAGGGGTACATGCTCAACTTTTTTTACTTAAGAAGCGTGCAGTAAGAAAAAAAAAAAAAGCTGGCCAATGATAGCTGCCAATTAACAAACCAGGACGCAATCCCTGAGATGGTGTCACAGAGAGCCTGTGTCTCTCTCAGGAGACTCTGGTCACATCCACTGGCTCCTCACAAGCAGTGAAAACTCCCCCTCATGGGGTTGAAGCCCTGAACCAACTCTTCTGTCGCCTGTCCTTATGTTCCTCTGGAATATCAAATACCAGATTCTGCTGGAAATGAATACATTGTTTGTTCCCACACAAAACAGGGTAAATGACTTACTGGTCCCACACAGTTGAGGACAACCGCTGCCTGTTTAGCCATTTCATCTAGTGAGGCTGGATTCATGATATCACAAATTATTATTCCAACTTCGGATGGGAGAGTCGGTCTTCCTGGAATAAGAAATAAATCGTCTGAAGCAAATTCTGATACAGTATTAGATCTTCCAGATCTTCTTTGTATAGTAATCAGGGATGGCAGATTTACTAAATATACAGACAAGAGCTAAAACTTGTTAAAACTAGGTTAAGGGCAGCCCAGGTGGCTCAGTGGTTTAGCGCCGCTTTCAGCCCAGGGCGTGATCCTGGAGTCCCAGGACTGAGTCCCATGTCAGGCTCCCTGCATGGGGCCTGCTTCTCCCTCTGCCTGTGTCTCTGCCTCTCTCTCTCTCTCTCTCTCTGTCTCTCATGAATAAATAAAATTTTTTTAAAAAACAGGTTAAAGAAAGAAAAGAAAAGGCTAGGAGAAAAATGGAGTTAATGCTACAGATTGCTAGAAAAAACATCAGTTACCTTGAAAAAAATCTAACTTAAGTAATATGCCAACAATAACCCTGTGTAAAATATTTTACAATCGTTTGGATCCTGAGTAGATGACTGTCCTGATTTCCTCTCTATGGAGAATTCCATTATAAAAAGTTTCTCATCAAGGACTAAGCAATTACACATGACAAAATACCAGGGTACAGCAGGGTTGTCAACATCAAAATAAGAACAAGCAAGAGCTCCAAGGTAGAAACCACAGTCTCGGAAAGAACACTCATTTTAGGCTTATAAGAAGTAAATCGCTGGAATTAGTGGTATGCAGGTTTTGATGGGTCAAGGTGTGTTCCCCACAAGAACGGAGTCAGGGCATTAGGAATGGCCAGGTAGGTAGGCTGCACCTGGTCAGCTGCATTTGTTGGGCATGAAAATTAAAAAAAAAAAAAAAAAAGGAAGGATGTATTTTAACAGTGAAATTTCTTTCTTTTGAAAAAGTAAAAGAAACTAAAAACACCAAGAAGCTCTTTGGTCACGACTCTGTGTGTTGGCGGTGGCAGCAGAGGGATCCTCCCCTCCGGGCTCAGGGTGCAGCGAGGAGCGCGATGAAGGGGCCCCAGAAGAACGCAGGTGCCGCGGGAGTGCGGGGGCCGTGGGGCGGGCCGGGCCGCGCCGAGCCGAGGGCAGGGCCCCGCACGCGAAAGACCGAAAGACCGCGCCGGAAAACCAAGCGCACCCAAGGATGATGCGAAGAGTAAGGGCGCGCAACAGCGAGAAGTGGAAACACGAGGGCCACAGCGCTCCGAAAGCCTGCGAGCCTCCTCGCCCACTCCCAACCCCGGGGCGAAGGGCGAGGCCGGCGGATCCCGAGGACACCAATGCCCTCCTCTCCCGCCCCCAGGGCTGGAGGCGCGACCACCCCGCGGGCCCCCTGCTCCGAGGCCGACGTCCTCGCCGCCCGGCCCGCGGGGCCCGCCACGCTCTGAAGGAGGCACCGACGGAGGGGACACGCGTCCGCGCCGGTGGGTCTGCGGGGCACCGAGCCACGACCCCCCCGCCCCCCGCCCACCGGCGCCGCTCGCCGCCTCGGGCCGGCCCGCACTGCCCCCGGGCGCCTCCCCCAAGGACCCACGCTCGCTGCGGGCGGCCCGACCCGGGCCCGAGCGGGAAGCCGCCCCCCCCCCCCCGCCCCTTTACCCAGCTTCAGGGCGACCCTCTCCAGCACTCGCTGCAGCTTCTCCCGGGAGCGGCCCGCCACCGCCCAGGCCAGGCGGGGGTTCTGCTCCCGGGCCACCTGCTCCCGGGCCACCTCCTGGGCCACGAACTGGCCGGTGAAGCCGGAGGCGCCCAACACCACCAGGCGGTAGAGCCTCTCCTGGGTCTGCATGACGAGCCCACGGCGAGCCGAGGTCCGGAGAGGGCACAGTCCACCGCGCCTGCGCCTCACGCAGCGACGCCAGTACCCGGCGCAGCAACCGCCTCCGTCGTGGCCGCCGCCACTGCCGCCCGCAAGCCGCGCTCCCGGCACGCCCCGCGCGCCGCCGCTTGAGGGCCCCGCCCACGCCCACGCGCCCCGCCCACGCGCCCACTCGCCCCGCCCACGCCGCGAGCTGTTGCGCGCCCCCCCCCCCCCCGAGGGCGTTGCACCTGGAAGGAGTCAGCAGAAATTTCCTGGAGTCTGGAGCTTCCGCGCCCTCCGACAACTGTCCTACGAGCGCGATGCCCCACGAGTGTTTGCGAAGCCAGGGCAGCTGGAGGCCAGTGGGCTCTGGGGCCCCAGTCCGCGAGCCGCGACCCCGCCACCGCCCCGGGGCCCCCCTTCAGGGTTGTCACTGCCCTCCCTGCGGCTCCCTGGGAAGACAGCTTCCAGAGCCGTCCTGCCTCGGAGCTGGGAAGCTAGGGAGAGCCTCAAAATGCAAAAGAGATACGTTTCTTGAGCGTTACTCCTCTATCCTGAAGCATTTTTAATATACATAAGTACATCTGTAAATGCACAGGGGAGCGGAGACATCTCCTAGCAGGGAAGAAGTCCAAATAATGGTGTAGTTACTACCTCCTCCAGGAGAGGAGCTTAACGCCTCCCCCTTTGGATGTAGGAAATTGCCTAGTGACTTATGTTAACCTCAAAAATAACGCAGCTATCTCAGCAGCAAAAATGGGTTTATTCGGAAATAGCAGAAAATTGCGATCCTGGACAAATGAGCTCTGGCAAAATCAGATGCAAATCCCCAGAACAAAGGAGGAGAGCTCTTATCTGTAGATGAAATGGGGGGAGATCAGGAAGGATTTCATAAACAAAAAGTGCTTTGGAAAAAACTGGGAGCTCAGAGTGTAGTAGCTTCTCGTAGGCTGAGCTGTGACAGTCTCTCCTTGGCTGGGCTGTTGCCAGGGCAACCTGTCTTCCTCCTGCATGGATGGCATCTACCTTCAAGGTCCTCCTGTCCCTGTAGGGTCTGCCATTGACAAGAGTGGCAGGGAGTGAGACCTCCCCCTACTGGCCTCTCCATTCTCTTCTAAAGGTGGCTTCCTTTTATTAATTTTCACACTTGTTCCAAAGAGTAGAATACGGAAAGAGGAGGGAGGGAATAGCTTTACAATGGAAAAACCTGGTAAACACTACCCCAGCCAAATGAACAAGGCTCATTGCCATGTTAATGGCACACGCTTTTGCTACCATGTGATAGGGCTGATACTTCATCTCTGTGAGCTTCCCCCCCAAACCCTGTAAGTGCAGTCTGAGCATGATAAATATTCTACAAAATACCTGACCAGTACACCTCAAAACTTCTAGGGCCATCCAAAACAAAGACTCCCTGAGAAGACATCACAGACTACAGGAGCCTCAAAAGACATGGTGACAAGATATAATACGGTATCCTGGCTGAGACACTGGGACGGAAAAAGGACATCAGAGAAAAGCTAGTGGAATCCGAATAAAGTGGACCATTTAGTTAATAATAACGTACTGGTTTCTTAAATGTGATGAGTGTACCAAAGTAGTGTTAGATGTGACAGTAGGGGACAGTGGGGGAAAATAGTGAGGGGTTAAAGGGAACACTCTGTACCATCCTTTCAACTTTTCTGTAAATCTAAAACTATTCAAAACAACAAAAAATTTAACCATTTTTATGCCTTTGTATCAGACACATGGAAATATATTATTTCATGTAATGCTGTTCAGCAAGCATTTCCAGCCAACCTGCTATCTGACAAGTCTTCAAATAGACACAACAATTAATAGACAAGGTCCTTGCCCTCCCTAATTGGGAGATAAATAGTTTAATTGCAGAACATGTAGTAAATGAGGAAAGGAACTATCTCTGGGACAGAAGAAATAAGACTCTTTGTTTTAAGAGTTTATTTGAGAGAGAGCAAGCACACAAGAGAGGGAGAGACAAAGGGGGGGAGAGAGAGAGAGACAGAGAGGAGAGAGAGAGAGAGAGAAGCAGGCTCCCCACTGAGCAGGAAGCCTGAAGCAGGACTTGATCCCAGGACTCTGGGATCATGACCCAAGCAAAAGGCAGACATTTAACCAACTGAGCTACCCAAGTATCCTGAAGAAATAAGACTCTTGTCCTTGGTTACAGCCTATTGGTCATGCCCAACACTAGGGCAGGGACCCTCGAAGAGGGAGTCTTCAAGAGGATTTTGGCCCAGACTCAAATAGTAGGGCTTTGATGTAGAAAGATTGAGAGAGACAGGTATTCATTTATTCAACGAACATTTATTGTGTGCCACACATCAGATGCAGAAACAAGGGCCAGGGGATCCCTGGGTGGCTTAGCAGTTCGGTGCCTACCTTCAGCCCAGGGCGTGATCCTGGAATCCCGGGATCGATTCCACGTCGGGCTTCCTGGATGGAGCCTGCTTCTCCTCTGTCTGTGTCTCTGCCTCTCTCTCTCTTTCTCTCTCTCTCTGTGTGTCTCCCACGAATAAATAAATAAAATCTTAAAAAAAAAAGAAAAAGAAACAAGGGCCAGATTTTGAAGTAAAGTGGTATTTTAATAAGTACCAAGAAGTCACCCAATTAGACTTAACATGCAGTCTTGATTTTCTGAACTCTCATTTAAGTAAGAGTAAATTGCTGCTTTTTAAAATTATGAAATGTATTGATCATACTAAAAGAGAGAAAACAAGTAACAAATGTGTACCTACCACACAACTTAAGAAAAATATCCCAGATAGCAAGGCTTTGAGCATCCATCCCTGAACATGTTTCTTTTCCTATGCTCAAGGTAGCCACATGCCTAAATTTGGTGTTTATCATTCCATTCCCCATGTTTCTGTTTCTGCCATACATATGTGTATTTCTAAGCATTATAGTATTGTTTTGTATACTTTGATTTTTTTACCTCCTCCTTCTTTTGCAGAACAGCTCTGGACATTGTGAAAAATTTCCTTAAATTTAGGACAGGAACACAAAACAATGTGACATAGACATGCAGAAAGGCTGTATATTTTGGATTTTTTAATGAATGCTAATCCTTTTGCAACTTTCTTGTTTGGTAACGATGTCTTCACTTTGTTCTTTTAAAAAAAAGATTTTGATGAGAGAAACAGAGAGAGAGAGAGAGAGAGAGAGAGAGAGAGAGAGGCAGAAGGAGAAGCAGGCTCCCTGTGGGGGGAAGCACAATGTGGGACCCGCTCCCAGGACCCCAAAGGCAGACACTCAACCACTGAGCCACCCAGGTGTCCCTCTTCACCTTATTTTTAAGTGGTTCAGAACAAAAAATAACGTGTGGTATGCATTTGTGGAAGGTGACTAATATAATGCTACAGGCTTTTGGACAATTTTAGACAATTTTGTGCACTGCTTTGTAGAATGCAACCATGGAATTCTTGCACCTGTCTCCTTGAGCACATGCGCAAAAGTATATCTTAATATATACCTAAGAATGAAATAGTTAGATCTAGAGTACACACATATTAGATGTTATCAATTTGTTTTCCAAAACAAAGTACTGACTTACACTCTCAGCAGGATATGAGGATTCTGTTGCTTCACATCCATGCCAACAGTTGGTATTTTTTTAAAGATTTTATTTATTTATTTATTTATTTATTTATTTATTTATTTATTTGAGAGAGAGAGAGTAGGAGAGGAAGAAGCAGACCTCCCGATAAGGGCAGTGCCCAATGCAGGGCTCCACCACTCTAGGCAGGACATGATCCCAGGACCCTGAGATCATGACCTGAGCCAAAGTCAGATGCTCAGTCGACTCAACCATCCAGGTGCCTGGCCTACAGTTGGTATTGTCAAGCTCCTAATTTTTGTCCCTCGAATGGGTGCACAATGGTAGGTGTCTGAGTACTTATTGAGCACCTACTATATGCTAGGCTCTAGGAATAAAATACTGGGGATATTGAAATATACAAACCAAGGCTGCTGCCCACATTAAAATTTACATTCTAATATCGTAGAAAATCAATTTTTAAAAAAGATTTTATTTACTTATTTATGAGAGATAGAGGCAGGGGGAGAAGCAGGCTCCATGCAGGGAGCCTGATGTGGGACTCAATCTGAGGATTCCAGGATCATGCCCTGGGTGAAAGGCAGGTGCTAAACCATTGAGCCACACAGGAATCCCTGAAAATCAATTTTAAAATAATCTTACAGATATGCACAAGTTTACAAAAACATTTATGCTACAATGCTTATTTCAATATTACTTGTAATAAACTAGAAATGACTAAAATATCCTTCATCAGAGGACCCTTTTTTTAAAAAAGACTTTATTTATTCATTCATGAGAGATACAGAGAGAGAGGCAGAGAGAGAAGCAGGCTCCTTACAGGGAGCCTGATGTGGGACTCAATCCTAGGACCCCAGGATCACGACCTGAGCCAAAGGCAGACACTCAACCACTGAGCCACCGAGGTGCCAGAAGAATTTTTTCAAAGATTTTATTTACTTCTGAAAAAAAAAAAAAAAAGATTTTATTTACTTCTGAAAGAGAGCAAGCATGAGCAGGGGGGGAGGGACAAAGGGAGAGGGAGAAGCAGACACCCCATTGACCAGGGAGCCCAATACAGGGGCTCTATCCCAGGACTCTGGGATCATAATCCAAGCTGAATATAGAAGCTTAACCTACTGAGCCAACCAGGTGCCCCCAGAGGACTTGTTTAATAAAGCATGGTCCCAAATCCATTCAATACCAACTATGCAAGTGAAGAAGAATGAGGAAGACATACGTGTTGTGATCCAGAAATTGTCCAAGATACTTTGTAAGTGAAAAGAACAGGTTTACTAATAATATGAGAGCATAAATCCTTTATTTAATATGAAAAGGTTATGCGTATATCCATATAAAACAATGGGAAGAATACATGACAAATCTTCATAAAGCAATCGCTGTAAAATGCTTGGGAACATGCCTTACATGTAGTAACTGTTCAGTTAATGTAAGCTATTATTAGCAGTGCTGGTTATTATTACTGGGAAGTGGATTTGTATGAACTTTGCAAGCAGAAAGGGACTTTTACTTTAAAATGTTTACCTTTCTATATTGT